TTAAGAAGCAAAATTCTAGATTTATAGGGTTGAGGGAATGATATAAACATTGATGTATATTAAATATCACCTTATGTACCCCAAGGACTTAACATTTTGTAAATAAATTGATGTCTCTTAATACAGTAAAGAATTAACAATAACCAAGATAGTAACTTTACTGATCTTCCTAGTTTGCAATATGTAATTGACCATTTGTACTCTTCTTGTTTTCTTCAGTTCTATACTCTTCTCCTTCGCTTTCCTCAGTCTCATTCCTCGATCCTCCTGCGACTGTCCGATAGCTATTATATAAAATCATAAACTCTTGGAATGTTCCGATTTTTCGCTTATTCGAGATAGACTTTTTGGCAATGCAAAAAACGATATACACATATGAACTTTTTTTTAGATGTTAAGGTACAAACAATTCTGGAATATTAACATGAAACTGATTTTTACTATAATAATAGAAATTATTTTTGGAGTTTTTTTTTATGAGAAATATTTAGATCATTTTATCTTTACAGTTTACATATTTCGGAAGGGACATTAAACAGTACCCTGTGTCAAGGATAACAACCCCTTTGGCACGTTAAAGATCGTTTCTCTGGATTTCGAAAAAGAGTAGGCTCGCTGGGGCCGCCAGGGAAAGTACAACCTTTCAAAACCGGTCAATAAACAAACATCCGCCGAAACATGGCTGAAATATTGCTGACTCAGCGTTAAACAATATACAAGCTATGATCAGTCACCCTCCCCTGCATCAGGACACAGACTACCAATTACTTTGCTATACATTCCTTTATAATATAAAAAATAATTTTAAAAATTACACCAGCTCAACTTACCTTAAACTTGGCACAGAGTAAGACCAATTTCAGTCCAAAAATTTATCAAACCCTCAGAAACATTCATTGTCTTCAAGTCTTGTTATGGCATCGCAAATAACCCCTACCCTGCTTTTTTCACTTTATCTTCGAGGATAGGGTAAATATGGGCCTCTTTACATGTTGCCTACTACGCGCTTAAAAGCAAAATTTCCCTTTATTATCAATTTTTATGCTTTTTTTCAGACCCTCTCCTTTCTATTTATGTCCAAAAATAACCCCATTCCACTCCATAAACGCCCCAAATAATAAAAAAAAACCCTCTATTTTTTTACTGGAACTACTTGCGTGGTCAATGAAATAGGAGTAAAATTAGTAGCTATAACCATCACTTTTGCTATCTTCACTATTATCCCTCTCGCTTTCTTCATTCTCTTCACTTTTACTGCATTTGCTTCTATCACCAATTCATCAGTTATTTCAGGCAAAACCAAAAAAGATGCAATATGTCTTTGAACCACTTGTACTTTTTCTGATCTTTAATGACAACTTCTTAGGTTGTGATGAGCATGGTATTTGTCTAATGTTTGAACAGACTTTTTTCATGCTAGCTATTAATTATAAATTCATTTCATAACTGATAACAACCAGAATCAATCATGATTCATGTACTGTAGAAGTACATTTTTTCCGCATGGTATTAATTTACGCTATGTACGCGGTCACAAAAAATCCGCGGAAATTTCTCCAAGCGTACTTCGTATAAATGTAAGGCATATAGTGACAGTCAAGAAAACCCGCGTAATTTTCTACCCGCGGATTTAACAGAAATTGAGATTCCGCGGAATTATGACCCCGCGAAAAAAGTACGTCTACAGTATTTTAAAAAATGTAATAAAACAGTAACGCAACGGCATTACAGCATCCAAAACATTTTTAAATTATTAAATAAATATAATTACCTGAATCATCCAAAATATTTTATTAAATGAATATAATAACATGAATAATAAAATTCAAGATCAAACTTAATATATCTCATACTATATATTTTAAGAAAAGTATGGATATTCATTTAAAACATTAGAAAATTAATATATAAAAAAGTATATTTTTGGGGGGAAAAAACATCATATATTTTAGCTGTACTCATCCCTACGCCTATCATTGTTTTTTTCGTTTTTTTTTCTTTTTTTTTTTGTTTGTTTTAATAATTTGAAGATTTATGTTACATTTTGTATTCTTTGTTTGACTTTTAAAAATGCAAAGATATTTTTGTAGGTTTTGTTTTTGAAAAAAATTAATGTCTTTCTTGAGTCTTTAAGGTCATTCGAAAAACCTGCAATTTTTACCTCGACACAGTTTCGTCCTAGACCGTGAATCTTGTCCGCCTCGGATGACTTTCACTATCCCACACTCCTACGTCGACCCACGTGTTTTTTTTCCTACATCTCAAAGAAATTCACTTTTAAAGAAAAATAAATTCGCTAAACTTAGCTGAAAACTGCTTTCAAATTGTCCATGTTAAGAATTGTGAAGACGAATTTCATGCATGTTGAAACTGGTTTATTACCGAAATATCTGTAAAACCAATATGAATGATGGCGATTTTCATTTTAATATCTGGAAAGCAAATCCTTTCACGATACACAGTGTTAAGATTGCTGTGACGAAAATGATAAATGTAATAATTATAATTGGAAATTTTCTAAGTCAAGGGGACAAAAGTCTGCCAAAAATGGCACGATCGTACCCAAAACAAAACTTGACCTAGATATTCTTATGATAAATCTGTATACCAAATTTCATTTCAGTATGCGCAATAGCTGTGAAGAAATGAACGGAAACTTGGTGGACCTACAGACAGCAGCAAAGCAAAATGCCCTCCTTTTTTCGAAGGGGGCATAATAAGGCCATAGATGGTCTTTCTCTTGGGTGTAGGTTCGCGTATAATTGGGGCTTTTTATAAAAGATAAAACCTGTGCAAAACTAGCTGCAGAACTGTTGCGTTATGGTTTTATATATTAGTCTTTGACCATAACGCTACAGATCCCGTAATGCAAACCAGAAGTCTCTGTCGAGACTGAAGCTCTACTGGTTTGTACTTATAGCAAAGGAAGAGAAAAGTACTTAAGCAGTTGGAAATTGAAACTTTTCAACAGCAATAAATAGAATAATGATCCTTGATTAAGTCTCTTTATGTTCTTAGTGTAGTCTACTTGCATGCCACATTATATTATAACCAGACTAAAACTGTTATTTGGAGTAGCATTTTGAGAGTATTTAACAAAAATTTCTATTTTTAGTAACCACGGCAACACCGTTCATCGAAATCAAAAACCGATACACAGAATTATGTATCTTAGTGTAGTCTACTTGTGTGCCAAGTTATATTGAAATCAGACCAAACCTGTAGGAGAAGTAGCATTTTGAAAGAATTTCACAGAAATTTCTATTTTTAGTAACCACGGCAACACCGTTCATCGAAATCAAAAACCGATACACAGAATTATGTATCTTAGTGTAGTCTACTTGTGTGCCAAGTTATATTGAAATCAGACCAAAACTGTAGGAGGAGTAGCATTTTGAAAGAATTTCACAGAAATTTCTATTTTTAGTAACCTGGCAACACCGTTCATCTAAATCAAAAACTGATACACAGAATTATGTATCTTAGTGTAGTCTACTTGTGTGCCAAGTAATATTGAAATTAGACCAAAACTGTAGGAAGAGTAGCATTTTGAAAGAATTTCATGGAAATTTCTATTTTTAGTAACCACGGCAACACCGTTCATTGAAATAAAAAACTGATACACAGAATTATGTATCTTAGTGTAGTCTACTTGTGTGCCAAGTTATATTGAAATCAGACCAAAATTGTAGGAGGAGTAGCATTTTGAAAAATTGTTTACAGACAGACAGACGGACAGACAGACAGACAGACAGACAGACAGACGGACGGACGACGGACGCATTACCAACGCATAAGCTCTTCTGGTCTCTGACCAGTAGAGCTAAAAATGTGCAATTTGGGGCGCAAGATTTTTTACGCACTGTTTGGAAGAACTTCTCCACTTCCCATTTACATTGGTAAATCATCTACCTTTCCCTCCATAATTCTAGACAAATTTTTCATAAATCTGTATATTTCAGACACCTCCCAACCCTGTATAGTCGTCTCTACAAGCGATAAACTCGCAAAAATTAGAATTTTCTGCTATATCCATCAGACAATTCAAATCAAGCCATTTATCGCCTGCTAGAGGCGACTATAAAGAGTTGACAGGAGAAAAATATATATAAATTGGTTTAAGAATATGTCTGAAATTAGGGGATAAAAGGTAGATGATTTACCAAAGTTGGAAAGTGGAGAAATTCTCCCAAAGAGTGTGCAAAAAAAATATCTTTCTATGCTGAGCTGTTCTTATCTTTGAGTAAATACAACCATGTGCACATGTAAATGACTGCTTCTTGCGCTTTTCTTTTTTAGGATTACATTTTGCATTCCCTCGATCATAATAAAAATATTAATATGCATGAAATTATTTTGGGAATATTTTATCATTATCTGTATCTAATTATAAAATTCTGACAGATATGGTGCCATTTTCCAATACATCACAATGAAAATACTAATTGCGTGACATATTTGTAATTTAGCATCTAAGATATCTAGCAAAACATGCATTGGATAAACTTATTGTAAACATTATTTCTTACGGTTCTTTTTTTAGCGATCTGTAAAAAATCGATAATTAAAATGTATACATGTACTTTAGTTCTAAAAATACGACTTTTCGTGAATCAATGTATTCTTTTGTTTTCAGGAAGGACTGTGTTAACTGCTTGTGTGAAACATATTTTATCAGTACATTCTACTCAAATATTCATTCTTGACATAAGGGAAGGAGATCGAGTATCTTTTGTTTTTACATTTTAAAAGTACGCGGTAGATGAGCGTCGTTGTTCCTAACATTATAGCTATCAATATGTGTGTGGTTATTTTTTTTTTTAATATAAAAATTAAATTTTTGCAATTTATATTATTAAAGATATCTCTTTTATCCCCTGAGTTACTTTTTTGTAATACAAGACCGACAGTGGGGAATTCCAGCCTTTCTTTGGCTGGTTTATCACTTGACGGTACCAGGTAAGAAGGTTAAAAATAGACTTTTGATAAAAGCCCGGAAGTAAAATTACTATTGGACAATATCTGAGGTAGTTGTTCATTCATGTTCAAAAATGAAATGTTTAGGTGCAAACGGATAGAAACTCTAAGGTAGGAATTGATTTATGTTTACATAATTTGATTGTTACATTATTTAAAAAAAAAGATTTGTACACGTAATATCACCTTACGGTTCATGCTTGTTTATAAAAATCGATATTACTTTTTATTAAGAGAGAGTTTCATTTTCTTTTGGTCCTTTTATCACTGGCGGATTAAGGGGGGGGGGGCAGGGGGCCCGCCCCCCTTTTGTGACCAAAAAAATACACAACATTTAATAAATCAATGGGTTTTTTTGGTGTGGCTGTGGATCCCAACCCTGACCTCAAACTGGTCTGGCTCCCCCTTTTCAAAATTTCGGATCCGTCACTGTTTATTAAGAGAAAACAGGAAGGTAAATAATAAACGTTCGGGTCATTTTCTTTAATGTAAATAATTGTTTGTTTGTTTTTTTTTTTTTTATTTGTTCTGTTTTCGCGAGACCCGACACTTCTTTGTTCATCAACTTAGGCTTGACTTTAGTCAAAATTAAAATCTAATCAATAAAAAATTAATTGACAGAAAACAGAATATCATAGACACTTCAAATGTAAGATTAAAATTTCAACAAATTATGCTTGTACAATATTTCCACAATTCAATCACGTGCAAAACTATATTTTTGACCTACGTTTCTTCTCTAATATGGGCATGGGATCAAAACACATACATGTTGTTGTCTCAGGTTAAAAAAAAAAAGAGAATGTTGTCATATAAAATATAAAAAATATATATATGTGAAAGTCATATAAATGTGTCTAAGTTTGTGTCACCAGGATTTGATCGCAAATTACATGTAAATTAAAAAAAATCTTTTTTGCTTAGCTTGATGTTTCCGAGGCCGAAATACATTCCGTTAGAATAAGTATGTCTAAACACCTGTCTGTCTGTTACTTTAAATTTTGTTAGTTCAAAACAATCTCGTTTAAGTTTCATGAAATTATGATTATATATATTGACAATTTTTATATGGACGAATATATATGACTGCTTTCAATAAAAACTACATAAAGAACTTTGAATATACATGACTTTGATCAATGTTTTCTTTATCTTTAAACATGTTGCCGTTTTTCTCTATTTTGAAATTGATTATTCTTTAATCTCAACAGGCGACTGGGGTTATTTTAAATGATGTCTCAAGTTTGTTTGCAATGAAGAATGGTGTTACTTTACGTGCAATATCTATATGGACAAGTTTGGCTTTCCAGAAAGCCTGAAATGTCATCTCTTTGGCTTCATTAATGTCACAGAATAAACAGTAAAGTGTAATATTTTCTCAACTATTACAGATTTTTCTATTCTTCTGGGGAAGGGGGGTGGCAGCTTACCTGAACAATTTTAGATTAGGACAAAGGACAGTGATCAAAATCTTATGCTGTGGATGAGAAGGGAATATTTTGATTCTTTTTTTTCGAAAAACAAATTCATTTTGTTTAGTACATGACTATACTCGAACAAAAAGTGTGGATAAGGGAGGGGCTGGCATTGAACAATTACAGCAATAAAAAGTTAAAAGAGCTGGTACACAGATTTGTAGATCTGATTTTCTAAAATTGTTTAAATAATATCACGATTTATATGTTGCTATAGCATTTTACACTGCATGAAATATACTAAAATAATGTTTCAAAGTCTCTTTTATCTGTAAATTATCAAAACTACAAACTTTGAGACAAGTTTCATTGACATATATCCTAGCACTTTCACAAAGTAAGCTAAATCCATGATAGAGATAACTCTTTATGACAAAAGTGCCCATTATCCCTTTATAAATTTGTCAAATGGAAGATTTTTTGTGCAGTTTTGCCCAGTAACGCAGTATTTGTAAAATTTGTATAAAAAAAATCACAAGAATTACTCGGGTAAAATCTTAGCCTTCCTTTTAACGTTACATATTGCATGTATTTCGCAGCTCCTTACTCTATGTACTCTGACAGTGGACAGAAGCGCTAACTTAATCAACTCCAAACCTTCCCAAAGATTTCATGTTAACTAAATTCCCATTCCTTAAAGTGATATGGTCGTCAAACCCCTTTGGTTTTAAAGGGGGAGATGAACTAAACTTACATCAAAAAGTTAACTATTCAAAATCGACTTTTAACAGCACTGGTGGATTTAGAGGGTGCCCAGACTCACAGTTTTTTTGTCCAAAATATACATAATATTTAATTAAATCATTTTTTGTGTGGCTTTGGGCCCCTACCCAACGTTCACATGCTTTTAAGCATAAGTAAGTAATAACATTTAAATGCTATCAGCTAAAATCAAGCATTTACAAATTATCAGAGAAAAGTTCTCATTTGCCAACCCTGAACTTACGGCTGTCTTCGGAATATACAGTATTGTGCCATTAGTGGCCGTGCAGTGCGTATATTTTTTTGTGTTTTAGTAAACTTTATCTGCATACTAAACATAAAACCTATTGTGTATTATAATTTGGTCTTCATTTCAGTAATATTGGAGGAGTGAATTAAAGATGTTTTTGACATTTATGCAATTAAAACTGCATAAAGAAAATGATTGCAAGTTCTTTAATCATGATAAATCCTTAAAAAGAATAGATAATACATGCAAGAAAATACTCATAATAATTCTTTGTGATCTTTCATTCAATGTCTGTAGTTTTTTTTAATAGACATTAATGTATCCGCTTATAACATGTATAAGTTGTGCTTTTAATTTCTCAATGCATTTGATTCTATAATCAGACTTGTATTACCTTTTTTTAAAAAAATGACGGTGCCGCGTTATATAATGACTAATGTACCAAAATAGTGAAGTTTTCACCATCAATTCCTATTAGTCAGTAATGCGATTACTTATGTGAATGTTTTTATTTGATGTTGTTTTTCTGTGAATTCTTGGATCCACGCCTCGGCTGCAGAGGATCTTTACACACGCGCTGACCAAGTTAGAAGATTCTATCGAGTTCTGGTCATCATTTAGGTAATAGCCAAGAAGACTTTACATATAAGAACATACAGTGTATATTTTGAAAAACCCCATTATTCAGGCGATTGTGTGTGTTGGTCTCTGTATGATTTCTTTGCAGCTTGTTTTCTTTATCAATAATAAGGCAGATCGCTCGTTGTTTACATCTCTATATTTAGAAAATCGCATCATCGCGTCAAACTGAGCAGTCGGTGATTTTCGGGTGGCCTCGAACTTTTGGAATGTAGCGTAGTGGAGTCAGCCGAGGATTGCAGACTGAAAAATAGCTGCTTACACTGGGACTTCACATCAGGAAATCACATCAGGAAATCAAACTTAATGTCATCATCGTGAGAGATGACAATAAGCATCGTACTGCTTTTCTAAATTTTCCTTGGCTTTCAAATAGGCCTAAACCGAAAGTAGATATCACACTTCTAAGCTAGTTCTTCTAAAAGAAAACCAGTTTACAGGCTACTTGGAACTCCTTGTGTAGATTCTCACTTGAGATATTGTAAAACATCGAGGATTCCCGAAGAATTAATGGAGGCTTACACTAGGACTTCACTTCCGGCATACAATCTTAATGTGTCATCTCCCGAGGGAGATGACAATAATAAACGCTTACATGCTTTAAATAATTCTATGTCTTTTTCTTAGTGGGAAAAACCCAAATCAGATTTAAATCCATTTTTGTAGAAAAAAAAACTTTATAATGTCTTGATTACTAAATACAGATTATCATTGGAATTTTACGTAATAGTTGAATTTAAGTGTCGCTTGAAACAAATGTCTCTGATTAACACGAAACAGTTACCCAAAATATTGAAATACATGTAACACGTTCCTCGACTGCTTATCTTGAATTCGAATCTGTAGACTCTTTTTTTCAGTTTCGTTAAAACTCTTACTAAAAATCAAAACTTAAAACAGGAGACAATGTAATACGACAATCTTATATTTGATTAAGAACATTCTCCGATATGGAATAAGAGCGGTAAATATATAATCAACATCGCTGACACTCCCTGAACGATATAAACTGGCACATTCTTCGTCTACCTTGACAGCAAATGTATATTTCAATCTTAAGGATCATCTTAAACTTTCAGATTATCCTCAGTCTATTTGTAAGATTTACAAAAGCTTAAAGAGAAAAGATATTTAAAACATGATAATAGCAACTTGGGTCATGTTTAAATAAGTAAAATGAATAAGGATTTTTTCAGAGGGACATACTTTTGAGCATCACAGAAGGTTTACAATTTGTTTATATTCTAGACAATTGTTATTTGCCTCATTTGCAATGAAATTAAGCCAAAAAAATATATACCGATCCAGGCATCCATGTTTTGTTTGTATCATCTGTCCTTAAACAAGATCTAGATGTGGTTGTGAATCACAATGCGCCGGGTGGCAACAGAGTTCAAAAAAGATATTCTAGCATATACATGTAGATCAGGGTCACAAGGTCATTGACCTTGGTGTCATCTGAGAGGACTTAATGGAGTAAGCATATCAAATATGAAGTCTATCACTGTTCAAAAGTTATGAGAAGGTCAAAGTTGACAACAGATAGAAAAACAAACAAATAGGACAAAAACAATGTGCACCCCCGATCTATCGATCCAGGCGCATAAAAATACGTTTATTTTTAATTGAATTTACACTCTGTTAATGTTTAATTTGAAAGAAATTTTAATAGAAAACGACTAAACCTATAAACAGCATGTTTTTTATGCCCCCGAATCGAAAGATCCCGGGGGTATATTGTTTTTACTGTCTTTCTGTCTATCTTTTTCTGTCTGTCTATTGTCAAACTTTAACCTAGCCCATAACTATCGAGTGGGTGTGGCTATGGTTTCATATTTAACAGGTGTATTTCTTGTGACAAAACCTTTCTTTGGGTATCACCAAATTTGACCTCTTGACCTTGACTAGAGTTTGACCTACTTTTTCAAAAAATGCCACATTTTAATCTGGGCCATTATTTTTGAACAATAGTAGCTACTGCTTTCATACATCACATGTGTATTAATTGTGACAAGACCTTTCAGCTGTTATAAATATTCTTGAGC